AAGGCCAGAAGCTGTCGCAGAGCAGCAGGGAGGCGGGACCTTCTCAGGATCGCGCTAGGAAGCGCACCCGTTTGTTCGCCAGAAACACGTGGTCGGGGGAAAGGGAAGGCACGGAAGGAGAGCAGAAAAAAAAAAAGCTTTCGGCAGTTTATTTGGCAGGGAGTGCAGCCTTCGGCAGGAGCAGCTGGGCGGCGAGCAGAGGAGCACATGGAGTTGGGCGTGGGGTCGTGAGGAAGAAAGGACCTGCTTCGAAACCACGCGACAGGAGTTGGCCCCATTCAAAGAAGCCTAAGCGCTCCACCTGAACATGATAATGACGTCTCTTAACTGTGTTAAATGAATCAAAAAGGATCTTCTGATCAATGCCTTCTATCCTAAGAGTTAGCGGATATGCATGAAGAGAGAGAGGCAGCCAGGTTTCGCGAGGCAGTGAGGAAGAAGGCGTGTGGTTCCCTGAGGAAGAAAGCGCGTGCAATTCCGTTTGGAGGAAGAACGCGCGCGGTTCTGTTCGTGACGCAGAACAGGCGGAGCAGGAGTTCGCTCACGCAAAGGAGTTTTGCGACATCCTAGAGGAAGGCTTCGGCAGTGCTGCAGAGAAGAATACGACAACTCCAGATTTTTGGAAATGAAGCACTACAGGAATTCGTCCAGGGTGTTTGGACTTAACAAACTCAAGCAAGGGCTGAGGGCCCGTCGGGACCGAGTGGAATGAATCTTTACCATGGAGCTTTGTAATTGAGATTCAAGGGGAGAATTGTTGTAATGAATCTCAATAATTAGGCTAGATAGACCCGGTCTACTAGGGGAGGCCCCTTCTATTATAAATAGAAGGGGTGGCTTGTAGGGGAGGGTTGAGGGGAAAGGAACCAAGGAGTGAGAATTAGGAGGAAGTAGAGAAGAAAGGGAGAGGCTTCAAGGATTGAGGGGAGAATCTTGGGGATCTAAGGTCGAGGTTATTCGAGAGAGAGATCGTGGTAAGATGGGAGCTCAGTGAGATCTTGGGTCGAGGTGAGTCGAGAGAGAGATCTGGAGCTTATTCCTCAATGGTGTAGAAGCCTTGTAATTCTTCTCTATTATCTTAGTGGATTTGGTTGATTCCCTTTCGTGGATGTAGGTCCAAATGACCGAACCACGTAAATCCTCTTGTTTGCTTGTATTCCTGTGTTTGCATCTTCTTTGTTGTAATTTGTGGTTTGTTCTCTTGCCAAGATTGAGGAAAGAAAGTGTTTTTCCCACAACACTAACCTATAATATGTAAATAACATGTTGAAGATAGCTTAGAAAAGCAGTCATTCAATTTCAAATTGCTCTCACGTTAGGGTGGAAGAGCAAAGATAGATTTTAGCACTTCAAAAAATTTATCCATTCCTTCAATATATTCATATATGGGCTATATCAGATTTGGGCCATTGGATTTTTCCCACAAGAGGGACGAGATCAGGGATGAAGGCTTTGTAGCTATATGATAACGACTTTAGCAGATTTAGTAAATCCTATTAATCTGTTAGGATTTAGTAAATCCAAGAACTAAGTCAAAATTAAGAATGAACTAGATTTATTAAATCCTAGATTTAAAATTATCTTTTTTTTTATATATATCATAAGATTTAAGTTAAATCATACTTAAATCAGTTAACAAATAGCCCCTCAGGCAAGGAGACTGAAGTAATATGGTGGGAAAATTGATGTGTTGAAAGTGATTCGAAGGGAAGGACTAAGATGACAGGCACATGCGGAGTGAGAAGAGGGAGGTGCAGACAGTTAACTTATAGGAGAAACTTTTGCTTTAGCTCATGTGATAAATTTATGGGATATAAAAGCTCACATCATGTATATAAAATTCATAACTTAAATGTTGCTAAAAAGTAAAGTAAATGACAAATATTATTGATACTTACACTATGGAAAAGTCAATGATTACCGACTGAAAAATCAGCCAATAATTAGTGATTTACAGTCTATAATTTAGATTAATGACTGATTTGCAATTGATGTTTATCTGTCAATAAAATCTCAGTTGCAAAAGCCGAAGTTGCTGAATAATTCAGCCCCTACAGGTTTGCGACTGTTTTATTAATTGCTAAACTTTAATGGCTGAGTAGGGACTGATATTCATTCACCAAAATTATTTCAGTTGAAGAAGTCAGCCGTTAACCTTATAACATAATATTGAGAGCCTTTTTCAGCAACAAAATTAGCGGCTGAGGAATCGACTGATTACAATATGAATCTTTGCTAATTTAGAGACTCGTATATTAGTCGATAAATTGAAAAAAAAAACTAAGAATCATATTCATAATATCTCATCACATTGCAATATGATTTATTATAGGCAACAAAAATGAATGAAAATATAGAAAATATAATAAATGTCAACATATCATCCAATAATCATAAAGCAAAACAATTTTCACAACATAAATGAAATAGTTCTACGTACACATGAAAAAAAAAGAAGAAAAAACTAACCTTTTTGTTCCTCCTCATCCACCTAGATCATTAGTCACTTGCCACGATCACGTGTCAGACATAGTTGTCTCGAGCCTCTTGACCTATTATCCTTTACTCCCTCAATCTCCTTCACCCTGGACTCTAGCTGATGTATAGTAACATAGCTGCCACATAACTCCTGGATCAATGTAATCGCACGCCTTGTCATAAATAATTGATGATCTCTAGCTGAAACTGGAATGATGTACCTTATATACAAATTTTTGTGCTATGAGACGTAGATCCTCCGCTTCTTCTATCTTTCAAAAGCTTTCTTCCATATCTCAAAGTTAAAATGGTCAAAATGACTACTAGAGCCATTAGCACATGGTGGGCTCTGACTTCAAGACTCTTTCAATGCTCATAATTATCCTACAAAATTAAATTATGAAGGAAAATTAGTATTGAGATATGATTTTAGATAAATTACATAAATAAATTAAATATTTTTAAACTTATGTGAACATGGAGAGATCTGTTATCTACCCATCATTTTTGTTTGTTTGATGCTGATGTGTACGTGCTCACGACTTAGCAATGGTAGGCTATCGGCCTAACTCCAACCTCTGTTAACATATGAAAATGTTAGGAAAGAAATATCTATACAAATCAATTCACCACGAAGAATAAATATTACCAGCTACCTCCTCCTACATATGCTCGACATGAAGAATCGAGCCACCGATGTGTAAGAAGACACCTATGCCCTACATTTCGTTGCCTAGTTCTAGTGCATGCCTTCCTTTTCCTAACATACGTAGGAGAGGACCATACTTGGTCAGCTCAGCTAAGGCATCCTTGCCTATCAAAATAGTTCTCTCTCATTTCTTCTGGATAACAGTGAACAAATTATTTAGGTGGTATTGGCCTCATTTTCAAAGTTCTTCCGAATATGCTGATGATACTGGGCATCCCATCACAAGTCCTTCTGCAAAGCATATTCAAATAATGTTAGTTATTAAAAAAATTGAGTTTATAAATGTAATTAAAAATTATTTAATTTACCTTGAACTCCTTTAAGTACATATCCTGTACCTTTATCGGGATCTTTAGCCATGATAGGTAGGAGGCATTGTACTTAATCTTAATGATCTTTGTGATCATGTGGATGGGCTGCTTAGACCGATAAAAGCTAAATAAAAAAGCAATTTTACATAAATAATATAATGAAAACTTAATTTTGATTACTAAAATTAATTTTACTTATGAATCTTCAAGAGACTCGATGTACATCCATTTTGAGGTGTCTGTGGTATGCTTGACAGAAGTGGAAGGCACTGCCTCGAAGAAGGACGGAGGTGGCAGTGTGGTGGGAGCTGCAGGAGTGTGGTAGGTATCTGCAAACATGTGTACGGGAGGTGGAGCAATGAGCATGAAGGGCATTGTTATGGTAGTTGAAGTCAAAACCATCACAGTGGTGCTCGTGTCAATGAATGACCGTGAAGCATCATGCTTCTTCCTTCAGTACAAATTGGAGATAACTGATCTACAAGGACTCCGGTTCTCACTACCACCTAAATCCGGCTATAGCAAGAACAAGTAACATGATTGGAATTATTTTGATGTATGAAATAATAAAACTTAAAAGTAGGTGACATCTGAACTAAAGCATGATACTACTAATCTAAAAAAAGAAGCTACTAAACTAAAGCAGAACATAATTGAACTATAGCAGTAAACAAAGTCATGCTAAAGTTGGAAACAGCTGAGCTAAAGCAAGAAACTACTAAAGTAAAACAAAAAATTAATATAAGTAAAAATAGAAACTTAAATAAGTACTAATGTGCAATGAAACAACATAAGTAAAATAACAAAAACCAAAATGGATAATATAAAAGATAAGGCATACATGTACCCGTTTTATTCTGATACATCGGATGAGTGAGTAGAGGTTGAACTTATAATTCCCTCCTTTGTGTCATCATCAAACTCATCCACATCATGACTAACTTCTTTGTTGCACTAGTAACATTCACTAAGGTTTCCCCTTCCTTAATAATAGTAAGAGGAATACATAAATTTGGCATATCCTGCTTCTGTTGTGATAGTCTGGATATCAATTTCGCTCTAAACCTAGTGTTGATGACCATTGCCCAGTCAAGTTTGTCTTTGCTTTACTGGGATATCTAAGATAATATACCTGACATGTTTGACTTGTTAAAATGAATGAATCAAACTTATCATATCTTCTTCTATTCATTTTAACTTCAATTATGTCATATGATTCTATTATTCTTATTCCTCGATTAGAAATAGGTTCAAACTAGTCATAATTAAACATAAATACACGGCGTTCAATAAAGCTCGAAAACTGTAACTACACAACTTCTTGCAGAATCTCATAATAGGTATTCTCATTATTAGAATGAGTTTTTCTTTTAACACATACAACATAATTATATGTCTTCATTCCTTTAGACCAAAAATTTGTGTAAAATCTGTACTCATTTACATCAAATATAGGTCACTTAATTATGTTGAGATTAGACCCCCAAACAAAATCTATCATGACTTAATTCATAACTCGATTGCTCTGATTATGAACATATTACAAAAGTTAACATTCTTATGTAATTTGTCCAATCATCTTACCTACTACAAATTTTTGAGTTATTTGAGCTTACACATAATTTGAATCTTGTTGCGAACTTTTCTTTATTTTTCTTACCGATATGTTCTTGTTCACAATATTTAAGGAGCTAATAAATAATCTGGTCACATAATTAAAATTAAAATAATCACGTCAATATAATATTTTTACTGCTAAGTCCAATACCTACAAGTTAATATGCATCCTCAATGATTTCTTAACTTTACTTTTTTAAAAATACATTTTCATTTCTTCTGAATGGATGATCAACACAAAAATATTTGATGACATTTGAATCAGACATTGCTTCTACCATATTTTAAAGCAAATGGAATTATAGTATGGGAAAGCTAACTTTTCCGCAGTGCTCCATCTCGATAATATTTCATATGCATGAAAATTGTGTATTGTTCACATTAAGGTAGATTTCATTTAAAATTTTTCTTTGAGGCAATATTACAATTGACAAGACATGTTTCGCTTAATAATTTGAGCTTATCTATAAAAAAATGTAAATATAAATCAATTCTTCCCTTCGGGCTTTATGGACCAGGTATAATCAATGTGAGAAGCACGAAAGGCTTAGTTATGCACATTTATGACGATAAATTATAATGTGTACCTATCACCAGTTAGTATGAGTAGGACGAGATGGTCTGACTGTATAACGTAAAATCATCTACACATAAGCCAAGTATATTATTGCGGGATTGCTACAAATTCAAGGAAAGTACGATTAAAATATTTTCAAGCTTCTCCATCCGTTGGATAATACAACATGCAGTCATTAGTACATCGAGGAGCTACCAAGCAAAGCTCAAACTAGCACAAACTAGACTCGTTAGCTCGTGAACCAGCTTGTTTAAAAATTATTAGTAAAAAATATACTAAATATATTAAATTTTAAGATTTTATTTTTAATAGTGATAAAAATGTTTAAAAATAGTATTTTGTAATTTATATTAAGTGATTTATTATTATTTCTCTTATAACTATTTGTCATTTTATTATATCACTTCCTTAAATTAATATTATTTTTTTCTCTTTTATATTAAATAAGCCGGCTCAAAATCATAGACTTTAGTTCCAGCTCGAGCTCAAACTCGATAAAATTAATCAAGCTCAAGCTCAAGCTCAAGCTGAGGGTGGCTCGAGCGACTAGACTCGTTTGCACCCCTAATCTAGGATGCCATGAGCTCTAAAATATGATGAATGTGCAAGCATGCCAAGTCATATGTACAATACTCTTGGTGGAAAATTGACATAATGACATGCCAAAACATAGGAATGAAACCAAAACAATTTGAATTTCAAATGTGAAAAATTCACATGACAAAGTCATAAGTATATGCCTCATACATAGAATCATACTTAAGACATATATAGCTTTTGTTGTAAACCCATATCTCCAATTAATGCATTGAGTTCCATAAATAGGGTCTATGTATGTCTCTAACACATGTATTTTAGAGCATAAAAATTAAAGGATAGATATTTGGAGGCATGAGCTTTAGATACCTAAAATCTCATTATAATAAATGCTTACTAATCTTAAACCATACTTCCCATCCATAAAATTCTATAGAATGGATTATATATGTCTCTAATATGTTTGGACATATAAATGAGCATAAATATTTAACTACATACTTCTCACAACTAAAAAAAATAAAAAAAAATGCACATCACTACATAACCTGCATATAATTAGGGCCTTGCTGTGTGATGATACAGTAATTTGCATACACAATAACATGTTTTCATATGGCTACAAAGCCAAGTGTCCAATAAAATGATGGGAAAAGTCATGCAAGCTTCCAATCCTAAATGCCAAAAAAAGAAGAAGAAGAAGAAGAAGAAGTGGTATGTATGTAAATCTAAGAGCTGAGTTGCATTCCTAAAGAAAAGAACTCACATAACAAAAAAAACACGAGAAATAAAAAATGAAGTCGGAATAAATCGAGTTAGTTTCCTAAAACTTGGTTTTGCGGTTTACTCTGGATTCAAGTCACCAAAGTTGAAGGATCACTGGAGTCGAAGTGTAGCTGGAGCATTCATCGAAGGCTAGGGTGTTGCGGAGAGCAAGAAAGAACCAAAGAAAATGAAAGAGTGAAGATAGAAAAATGAGTGGTTCACAGTGTGGGCTAGGTTTTACTAACGACTAGCATCTGATTAGCAACATAACTTTGAACCGCTACATTATGTGACTGCAATTTTAGTCGTTGTCCAACTACTTTCAAATAAAAAAAAAATAGCAACCACTTAAATGAGGTTGAAATTTCAGACATTAAGCTTTGCAGCTGTGGTTTAAAGTGTTATTCAATAGGTAAATTAATGAGGTGCAAATTTGGCCGCTAGATTATCAATTGAAAAAAATCAATGAGTAATTCAACCACTAATAGATGGTTTTCATGTGGTGTTAGATGACATCTCTAATGCATGAGATGGTGAAATGATGGTGTAGATTACATCATAAAGTTTGGGGTCACTTCTCTTATTAGCTTTTTGAATAAGGAAAAGGCTGAGAAGTAACATTTTTATGTCAAATTTAGATAAGTTTACCATGATATTTTCTATCTATGAATCCATGTATTTGTTATTCCAACAATATGTGGATCTTATCTCACACACTTGACGGACATTTCACATTTTTTACACCAAATGCGCGTAAGTCGCATTTAAGCATTTTTTTTACAACTAAAGACTTTATGTTACTTACTGCGAGTGTGACTTTCCACATTTAAATGGAATGTTTTATGATAAAGTTGTATTTTTTTTCTCATTTTTTTTTTTATACCGTTCTATTTGTTTGGACTTTTTAATGTTGTTTATGAAACGAGTGCTCTAGATCATTGATATTAGGTTTGATTAATTCTAGAATATAATTCCCAAAAATTAAGGGAAAAAAATAGCATCATTGCCCATTTTTGAAATTTAATGAGCTAATACTAAAGCCCAAACAAAATTTAAATAGTTATAATTTTAAGTGAACTATGCTTGAATATTGCATACTCATTAGCAACTTTCTTGGGCTGTTGCTTACTGAAATGAGCCTCTTGGGCCTAGAGGGCCCATCTTCACCAAAGCGCTAATACCATTGAGCACTAACAGTCGGAGTAACTCGTTGAGATAATCTATAACCTCACCTGCCAATCTGATAGTTGTTTCATACTTGTTGTTGGAGTAATCTACCGAAGTGAGCTATAAACCTAGCCTCTCGATCTGCCGGTTGTCCCATACCAGCTGCAGAAGTAATCTACTAAGGTGATATACTGTCCTCATCTACCCATCTGTCAGCTATCTCAAATCAGTTGTTGAAGTAATCTATCGATGTGAACTACTCCCTTGCTTGTCGATCTACCAATTATCCTGCACCAACTGCCGAAGTAATCTGTCTTACTCTCCATGATCACTCCTCAAGTATCACAAATGATAAACAAGCTCCTATGCAACCCAATTTGATTCATTTGAAAATTGATTGCATGCATCTTAAAATCAATTTAATAATTTTGAGATTAATCTTATAAAAAAATTTACCATAATAGATTAAGTTAATTTTTCTTTTTACTTTTAACATTAAATTTCAATACCACATAAGTCGTGAAAAAAAGGGGAATCTCTTTAATATTTTGTTTTATTTCAATAGCTTTGTATGATAACTACAATAAATAATCCAAATTTTGGGATATATATATATATATATATATGATTATTTATAAAAAGTAATGTGCCAAAACAGTCCCCCGGGTTGTTTTAATCCTATAATTTATAAAAGTGCCAAAATAATGTCCTGGGTATAAATAATTCTTATGGAGGACTATAAAAGCTTAATTTTTAAATTAAAAAAAAATATAAAATGAAAAATATAGATTAATCAACAGATTATCAGGATAAACTGTTTATTAGCATAAGTTGGATAAATTGCAGCTGCTCCAAATTTGAGTGAGAATTTAAAATTTACATGAAAAAATATTAAATTTGTAAATAATAAATTTTCGAGCATTATGTAAGTAATTGCCCTAATTTTGGTCCCAATTATGGTTTTTTAGAAGATCCAAAATATAAAATATTAGATTATTTCAACTTTAATTTTTTCGCTTTTTGCTTTTGGCTTCATCTCATCTACTGTAACTGTGTAAGTGGAGGAAACATAAGGGCAGAATGATGCACTCTTTAGGTGTTAAGCTGGTCTCTTTGAAGCCTGCAACGATCTCTACAGCGTGGGCGAGCCACAGAGAAAGCACGAAGCCTTCTTTTGTGATTCTATCTGTCTCCAATTCTTCTTCCTCCGAGAGAGATGGTTCGGAGAATGAGAAGATGCTCTCTTCTCCGATCGCCTCTTTCCTTTCTAAGAGCCAGAACTATGCTCTCCTCAAGAAGCAGTTGGCCGTGGCGGCCAAATCCGAGGTAGATTTTCTCGTTACATCATTCAGTGATGCCAAGTTAGTTCGGGAGTTCTTCTCTCATTTAACACAAAGCCTAATTTCTGAGCTTTTCATCCTAAATCCTCTTATGTTACTTTATTTGATGGATTTTGTTGATGTGCATCAAAATATACTTTTAAGGTGAAACAAATCTGTCATAAACAAATCATTCTTTTTGAAGGTGAAGCATTCTTTATGGCAAGTATGTTGGAACTAATTATTTCCTTGCAGGGTCAAGTCGATATCTAATGGGTCAAGTCGATATGTTGACAACAATTTGTACTGATTTCTTCAATTTTTACGCTTAGTGTAGCGTATAAACCATAATGATGTCGTATTTGATAGTTTGAGTAATAAGTGGTTTCTACTGAAGTGTCTATGCACCTTGCTGGGATCCATCCAAGCCTACTCAACCCCAACGAAGATTTTTTAAATCATGTGCTTCTATATCAAACCAATGAGACCAGGGTGAAGAATTATCTCATGAAAAGCTGTGTAGACTTTCTTCATTTGTTCATATCTTGCCAATAATTTTATATGTTGAGTTTGGATTACACACAAATGTTTACCTTTCTTTGTTTTGATCCAGTGTGTTAATTAAGTTTCTATTATGAAGTTTTCGTTAGTGTCTGGATTGTCTTTTATTTTCACTAAATTTAACCAGATGATTGCTCTTAGGTGAATGAAATAATTTTTCGACTAATATATACCTGCTTTATCTTTTTTTTCGAATGAATCTTGGTTAATCTTGTTGGGCACTATTGTTAGAAAGGAATATTTTGAAGTAATTGGTATCTTTCTCTCTATGTAATCTTATCTGTATGATTTGTTTTTTTAAGGATTATAAAGAGGCTGCAAGGATACGGGATTCCTTAAAATCTTTTGAGGAGGAGGAACCAGTATTGCGCCTCAAGGGATTATTAAAGAAGGCTATTCAAGAAGAACGCTTTGAGGTACTTATTGTTTTTTTTCCTTGTTAGTCTCTTTTCTATTGTTAATACTGAATTCTGAAGTTTTGGTGAATCCAATCTGAGAACATTTTAAGCATATTGTAATTAGAATGCACAATTTTTTAATATTTTAACTTGCACCATATTGTTAAGTTGGAAGTATATAAATGTAGCTTCTAAAGTAAATTTTGTTAAACTTCTAGAGTACTTGCACCACCAACCCTCTTAAAAGCTTGATCTCTTAGGAAAGGCACAACTTAGGTCCTTTAGGTGAAGCACAAAACCCTACATCTATATGTGCTATTGGCTCGTGTGAGGGACTCTGTGATGGTACATGCACATCGGTGGGTAAGGGCAACACAACATATAACCAACTACTTCCCTCATAACTGACTCTCCTAGAGCTCAAGATGATAGAAAATATGCTAACAAAGTTTTCTACGTTACACATAGATAAAACACGTAAGCCATTCATATGTTATATGGCCGCCCTTAGCCTCCACAATGGTACAGGTGTGAAGTGAGGGATAAGCAGGCATATGTCCAATAAATTTACCCTCTATAATCACTATCGGGAGTTAAAGCATAACCCAGTCGGATATGATTTGTTGGAAATAAGCGCACATTTAAAGGAAGGGGAGTGCGAGTTGGATAAGAAACTCTTTTATTAAAATTTTTATAAAAGAAATATTATTCATTCCTTAGATTGGTGTGGAGTAGGCATGGAAAACATGAGATTTTGAGAGCATAAACTTAAAATAAGCACTTCAAACCACACAAAAGACAAGGATTTATAGGGTTAAGTTCTTTTAGTTTATGTCCACTCCCAAGTTGAGAATTTAACCAAATTCCATGAGATTTTGAGAGCATAAACTTAAAATAAGCACTTCAAACCACACAAAAGACAAGGATTTATAGGGGTTAAGTTCTTTTAGTCCATGTCCACTCCCAAGTTGAGAATTTAACCAAACACCTTCATAAACTCTTCTGGCCAATGATATTATAAGCTTCACTCTTCTCTCAAATTTATAGAGGAAACTTCAGCCTTTTTCCTTGAAAAGTGGCATATTTCATTACTATATCAAAAAAGTTATAAAAAGATGCTTCTTAGCATGCACAAAAGAAATGTCCTCCTTAATTGGGCACTTGACCTTTTTCTAGGCTCAAGGACAATTATATTTTTTCTTTACTCAAAACTACACTCACTAGAACAAAAATTGACTACGGGCTTCGAAATTTGCAACCCGTCTCTCTAGAAAATGATGGAGAGAGTTTTACGTTGAGGTTCTAGGTTAAATATTTAGAAGATAGATGAGATAGAATATAAGACACCACCTATAGGTTTTACCCTCAATTTGTGAGGATTTTTAAGATTTAAGGTTTGAGATTTTTTGTAGGCACAAGACTTAATGGTTAATTGCTTTACCTGATAAATAAAACACTTTCAATTAAAGCTAAGCATTATGGCACTGATCACTCAACATATAATAACAATAAGTTAATTTTTTTACTATGAAATTTATTATGATGAGCTTATGTGCGGATGATGAGATGAATGATATCGATCAAGTTTCTATGGTTTTATCGTTCTGGGTTATCTTGTACATTACTCTACTTAATTAGAGAAGGTAGTCGACTCGATCTGACTGAAGGATCTTTGTTAACAGTCTTTAGTTATTTTGTCTAAGGGAGCCTTATGAGTCAGGGATGATGTTTGTCGAAGAGGATAACTCAAAGCCGACCTTAGTTTACAAAGGGTTTTATGTTCTTTCAGATATACCCTATGATTGACAACCCAAAGGAACAAAAAGTCATTAAGGAACATATAAACTATAATATAATGAAGTTTGTTTGGCCAGAGCATCGGTTAGAAGGCTATTGTTGTAATTGCTTCATTTATGAAGTCAAATGGCCAAACCATAATGACAGAAAACTCATACGTCTTTACTAAGACATATCTTTTTGAGTGTGAATATAGTAGTATACTTAATATAACATTCACTTCTTATAAGTTCAGGTTAATCTTGGAATTATCATTCTTGACAAACGATTATGAGTGGTGGATAAGTTTTTTGCTTTAAAATTTAGAATTAGATTTATTTAAACATTTTTTAGATAATTTTAATTTTAATTTTATGAATCATGAATCGACCCTTCCTATTGTGTTTCATTTTTAACGTGACCATCATTGAGAAGTTTTCAATAGATTTGAATTTTTTCGACTCTATTTTGCTTATAGAGGATTGTGTTAATTTCTTTTGAAGCTTAATTTAAAAAAAATAGACTCATTTGGTTGAGGTGCACAATTAAAATGGCCATTATTAGGATTTAGATAATTTTTTATTTATAAAGGATCAAGCTGATAACTTGAATCAATTGAGTTTATTCAAATAATCTTTTGAGTATAATTTAAAAATATAGGCACGTCTAATTAAGATTCATAATCAATATGGCCATTCTCGGAGTGTTCATTAAAGAACATTTAAAGTACTTATATTTGTCATTTAATGAAAAATTATTTCTTAAATATCATTAAAAATATCTAGTCCATTAACTTTGTTTTTTTTAGGAGAATCAGACTATTTTAGTAGGGCTTGGTATTGTCACTCCAGCCTTTATCAAGTGGAAGATCATACTAACTTATTGGAAGTTTTGTCTTATCAACTCCAATTCTTCTGAGGAGGAGAAATGAACTGGACAATTTGAGACTTAACACTCAGCCTTATAGAAAAGACGGCTTACTTGAGAGTGTGCATTACTTAATAATTTTTTAACTTGATTTTAAAGAAGATATTTTATAATATTTTAAGATAATTACATGTTTTTCAAGACAGCTTTAATTTTAATATGAATCCATCCTTAGCCCACACATTATTCTCAAAAGCTTAAGTTTAAGCACTTAAGATAAAATGATGGAGCACATGCATGCTCTTAATCTATTAGTATGTATATTTTTTTGGTGCGACATATTTTGAAATATATTTTAAGTAAGCCCGCATGGTACTCTCGGACCTTATGATTAAGCGTTTAATATGCTAGTTAAAGCACATAGATGTTTGTTTAAAGACATGCATATTTTTCGAGGACATGATTTTGGATTCATTTTTTGTATTTTTTTACTCTTGTAATATCACAAACACTTATGTTTAAGTATGCTAGACAAATGACGGAGTACATGTGAGTTGAAATTGACTTCATCTGATGTCGTGCTAAAAAATCATCATCTGCTTTGTTTTAGCTCGAGCCTGCCTCATACTACACAAGTGTCATACATATCTAGGTTAATACCACAAAGCATGTTTCATGTACCAAATGCTGTCCAAATCAATTTCTACCCATATATGATTTGTGCCTTTGCTTAGCATTTTTAATTATTTCAAACCATGTTCTATGAATTTCCAAGCAATCTATGAATGCAGCTCTATAAGCTACATGAAATGACTTAAGCATGATAAGCTTGGCAATGTAATTGTACTTGCATTTTAGTGTGAAAAAGGAATATAAATGATGAACACTTTAGACAGCAATTTTGGACTTGTTTAGCATTTATTTTTGTTTTAAATAATATAATTCATCATTTTGGCTTTTTTTCAGCTTGAAGCGCATGATTATTCCACATATGTAAAGGGCATTTGTCATTATCAAAATTAATATAGGGTAAACACAGGCTCAACAATATTTTTCATATGAGTGGATCCACAAACATCACATAATTCTCTTTTCTAGCTATTGATCATATCTGTAGTGAAAAAAATTCGACTCCAATGATTAATGTTATATAGAAAAAAATTCTATGATAGAGAAATAATAAATAGTTTCTAGACTATTTATGAGGCTTTCTTTTAGTTCCAGGTTGTATAATGTATCAATTTAATCATTTGGCTCAAATTTGATCTAAAATAGCTGTTTGACTCCTTAGATTTGATCCAATATAATATAATAAAGGGGGTATTTTGGGTCATATTTGAGGACTCAATAGATTTAATTGAACACATTTATAGTTTGGTGTTAAAATGGCCCCATGCAAGTGATCTAGGAACCATTTTAACCCTTTTTTTGTATTAAATCTCTTTGCTTATTTTTTAAGGAGTGTTTATGGTACTCGAAAGTGCAAGCTAAGGCTGTCAAAAAGGCTCATCATTCGTGAATTGCTCGTGTTCGGTTCAATAAGTAATTCGCGTTCGATTCGTTCGTTAAACAATCAATCCAAACACGTACATTATTAAATCTCTTTGCTTATTTTTTAAGGAGTGTTTTATGGTACTCGAAAGTGCAAGCTAAGGCTGTAAAAAAGGCTCATCATTCGTGAATTGCTTGTGTCCGGTTCAATAAGTAATTCGCGTTCGATTTGTTCGTTAAACAATCAATCCAAACACGTACAAGATTTTTTAGTTCGAATTGTAAACGAACCGAACACGAATAAGAAGCTGTTCGTTTGCGTTCGGTTCGTTTTGGTTTGAAATAAATAAATAATTAAAAATTAATATAATTATAAAATTTTTAATAAAATTTTATAAGGAAAATTTAAAATATAGAATTTATTAAATTATTATAAAAAAGAATTTTTAATTCAAAATTATCTGAAACTAATCTTCACTTTTTTTATAATTTTTTAATAAATAATTAAATTTATTATTTTTTAAATTTTCTTAGCTCATTTCAAACCGAACACGAGCAATTCAAACAATTCAAATTAAATTCAAGAAAAGTGAACCGAACACGAGCACCCATTTCACAAACACATTTGAACACAAGCCTATTTCGAACAGATTTAATTTCAAACGAATCAAACACAAACAGGAGCTCTGTTTGCTCATGTTTGGTTCGTTTACACCCCTAGTGCAAGCGAAGGGTACAAAAGCTTGAAAAAAAATAGCGTCGAATGCATAGACAACATAAATATATTCAATGATTGATTGCTTCTTACTTTCATGAAGTTTCCCAGAATTGCTGAACTCTGCTATTCATCGGCTTCATGTTTGTGGATAAAACTTGCGTCATGAAACTTGTAATGAATGAATTTATACTTGGGGAGTATCAGAACATTTCTACATTTATTATTACAAGTTACTTTTTGAGTCATTTTCCCTGGGAAGAAGTATGTAATGTTTACTTGCCTAAACTTTTGTTTGCTGAAAAAAAATTTCAGGATGCTGCAAGGTATCGAAATGAATTGAAAATTTTGGCCCCACATGCTTTGTTGAAATGTTCAAGTGATGCTACTACTGCGGTATGTACTGGTTTATCTGTATGCATTACCTGGACAAAGACCCCATGCACGGTTCTGAATAGAAAAATGAAAGATTCGCATACATACTACTC